TTTTTAAAACTAAAGTAAGAACTTGATAATTAAAATTAAACGCTACACAATTTTATCAATTAATTGCCCCCAAATATTCAGCTTAAAACCATTTTTGAAACATGCCACACAACACAAAATATTCCAATTATGTTTCAGAAACATAATCTTTTAGGTTATAAGCATTTTCAAAAACGATAGTACAGCACTAAATATTCCAATTGTGTTTCAGAAATACTTTTTTTTGCTTCTAAAATTTAAGGCAACCTTAAAAATAGTGAGGAAAGAAATATTATAAACTCTTATTTAAAACTTCATTACTATGTCTGTAGTAGGTTGAGTTTACAATATAGTGAATATATAATGGATTACAAAGCAATTACACTATAGTGGATAATTTGAGGCGATTGCACAATGGTGTTGGCACGTGATATTAATTTAATCTATTCATATTTACACATGTTCTGTATTTTCTAATGACGGGTCAAAATTTGATAATGATATTTTATACAGTTTTGTCTTATTATTGATCTTCATTAAACATATTATAATATAATTTTCCCACTTGAAAATTAAATTACTTCTGAATAATATATGAAAATTTTTAAAAAGATTGTTCATGAAACATTTTAAAAATACATGAAAATATTTTAGAAAAATATAAGACGATTAAAGGTTTGATTGTGGTTAAATATTACGAAATCAGAATAATCATGAGATAGTTGGAAATGCTTTTTAGATGATGATTTAAATGATTTAATCATTAATTTAAATGACTTTATTATGTTATTTTAAGCTTCGTGAATACCCAATTAATAAAATTGCAACTCAGATTAAATTACGTACAATATACTAAAATGAAATTCATTTTAAAGTTTATTTATTATAATTTATAGACAGAACTTCAAAGTGCTTTTATATTTTAAGAATAAAGTACTGGTATAAAAATANTGATTAATTTTTATTTGTGTTCCAGAGATGGAATTTACGATGAATCCAGCTGCAGTACTTCTCAATTGGATCACGGTGTTCTGGCTATTGGTTACGGAACTGAAGATGGCCAAGACTATTGGCTGGTGAAGAACAGGTAATAAAAGCTTCAAAACTTCTTTTAAATATAAGAATAAAAATTATAAATAACTTCGAAACTTATTCATCTATTACTTTAAAATAAATAGTAAAATAAGCAATTAGTAAGCAATTAATATTGGTATGACTACTTTTTCTTATAAGAAGGAAATTTAACTAACAACGTATGAACAATAAACTTATAGTACAGAGGTGTTCATGTAATGTTAAAATATTAGAAATGAAATAAATCCAAATTCACTTCCTATTTTTATGTATCATATGTAAATAACAGGAAAATATTAAATTACAGTTAATCTCTTTTCTTAATTTTGATTGATTTTTGAAATAGTATATTCAACATAAATCCATTAGTGTTTTTATTAATTGGAACGCTAGATGTGCTTATAAACAATTCTGTTTACTTATGCGCACACAAAGAAAAAATTCTGGAAAAATTACCTCACTGTATAGTAATTACATTTCTGGTACAAAAAAATATCATTTCGGTAATAAAAACCAAAGTATTTAAACCATTCATTCGATAATTTTTCCGTTCATGTAGTATCGATTTACAGGAAATTTTGATTTACTTATAGTTCTTATTACCACACATTTAGTAGAAAGATACAAATTAAAAAGTAAATTTAGCCAAATAAGTGGTTTTTATGCCATGCTCTGAGAGATATCACGATAAAATTACCAAATTTTACCACATTTTATTATATATTTATACAAATTTTCTTGTTAATTTTACCTAAATCATTGCCAAGCGCTTCCGTGAAAATTGCAGAGCAGTCTGGCGATCCCATAGAGCCAGAAACACGGTAAATTTTACTATATTCTGGTAATTTTGACCATACTTTTTTTTCTCAGTGTATAAGTTTTCATTTAAGTTTCTTTATAAATAAATACATTATCCAAAGATATAGTATAATTTACTTACCTATTGATATTACATTTATTTTTTATAAAAAATTGCAATTAATGCAATGTTTCAAAGGCGTATCTAACATAAACTGAAGTGTTAATTAAAAATTTAAATTTCTTATTTTGCTTAGGTTTTATTTTGTGCAAAATATATCAAGATTTATTCTTTGCTTTCGTATCATGAAAAAATATGTATCAAATTCTAACTCTGTAACTATTTTTCATAGATATTTCTTTTTCATGTTTCAATTTAATATATATTTCAATTAATATATATTTAATAATATTTTCTTTTTCATATTTCAGTTGGGGAACTACTTGGGGTATCCAAGGGTACATCAAAATGTCCAGAAACAAAGGCAACCAATGCGGAATTGCAACACAAGCCAGCTACCCACTCGTTTAAACTGTGATAAACTTTACATGACTGTACACGTTTGTTTGTATTGCACTAATTAGAAATTAATTTTTGTATGTACAGAAAAATGGATGACAGATTGAATTGATGAGGAAAAAGTAGGAAAAAAGATCTTATAATTGTTAAAATAACATTGTGTATGTTTTAAAATAAAATATTGTATGTTCTTAATAGAATTTTGTTTTCTATAGAATTAATACACACTGAAATGTAAAAAAAAACTGTTTGTTATTTATTTAGGGATTAAAAATAGGTTGAAAAGCCTTTAAAGTCACGGGTGATCTAGTCTTAGACTGCTATTAGATTATTTCAAATTTTTTCCCAATGGCTCATTATCAGGTTTACAAAGAATTTTTTTAAAACTACTGGAGAATTCGTGGCAGACAACCGCTAGAGTTTCGCAGTCGTTTTCTTTGAACAGATTGCTTTTTTAAATTAATAATTATTCCATTAAGACATTCCAATTTTGTTGTTGTATTATTCTTGGTTCCACAGATTTAATTTCCGATTCGACTGGTATACAATTTAAAATTAAAGTCTTTAATCTTTCACCATTGCAACTTCATTGACAAATTTGCTTTTGAAATTCATATTTAAATTTTATTTATTATGAAAACTCTTTAAATATTTTTTCTAAGGAAAATAGAATAATGCGAAAAGTTAACACTGAATGCTCTTTTACTTTTATTTAAATTTTTTAACAGTTATTTTGTATATTTTGTTGTAAACATTCCATAAAATTTATAATAAAAGTAAATGTGATTAATTTACTATTTATCTAAATACCTTTTTAAAAAATTTAACAAAAATTTTAACTTAAAGACTTTAACTATGAATAGTAAATAAAATTAAAATTTAAAAATAAAAGAATATAATATTAGGAAAGAATGCTGGATAAATATTACAGGAAAATATCTTCAAATGAGGGATAATTTTGTAGTGAACAAGTACTTTTTTCTTAATTTTGCAGTAAATTGTATTTGGCGTATAATAAAAATTTTTTATTTAAATATCCTAAAAATTTAAAAGGTTTCAAGCAATTACTGAGCAATTTTTGTACTTTTCAAAAGAAAGCTCAAAACATTCAAGGGTGTTTCACAAATTTTGTTTTGTATCATAAGACAAAATTTAATAACAAATGATAATACTTTACAAAAATTGCCGGAAACTAAACTTTGATGGTATAGAGCAGTGTTTCCCAAACTTATTACTTTTGTGTACCCTTTCTAAATTTTTCGTAGCGCTGCGTACCACGAATATAAAATGAATGTATTTTTTACTATAAAAATTTCCACAAAAGTTAAAAATCACAACTGGCTGTTGAAACCACTAATTATGAACTGTTAACTGCAAAAATTAGCCAATAGAAAAATACGTAATCGTAAATTTTCACTGCTAGCTTTGTTCTTAAGTAAAATTTTTTTGAAATTTTCGTTTTTTGCAAGATATTTCGCATAAGAGCGAGAACCCCCGCTAAACTGTTCCCGTACCCCTAGGAGTACGCGTACCACACTTTGGCAAACAGAGGAAGAAAATATACAAAAGAGAACATATTTTTATGGGAGATGATCCTTCAGAATGCCGGTCTCATTTTTAATAAATCTTGTTCAATAGTGCAATATGAAGTTTGTGGATAACTCCTTATCGCTTTGAGCTTTCTTTTAAAATGTACAAGAACTAATTAGAAAATTGCTTGAAACTTTTTAAATTTTTAAGACATTCAAATAAAGCTTTTATCATTTGTTGATTCCCTACAAAATTATAAAAAAAACTTTATTAAATTGTTCTGCGCATGCGCAGTATAAAATAATCAGCTTAAATTCTCATATCTTGCGCAGTTTTTAAAGAAAATTTTCAAATTTCAAATCAACATTTTTGAAATTAACTTTAAATTTCTCCAAAAATTTTGTTTAATTCCATTGAATATTTATGAAGTTATAGCAATGAAACGTAATACGAAAAAATTATTTTTCTGTAAAAATCTCTATATTTTAATAAATATTTACTCTAGGGCTACGAAATTGTATGCAGAATTTCTTTTTAACGGTTTTGAAACTATGTTAGTTGTAAATAGTTAAGAAGCTGTAATTGTATAGTTTTGCATTTATGTTTTTTTTAAAAACTAAACTAGTTATAAACCGTTTAAAAACCGTAAAGGTAAGAAATGCTCCACACCATAATTTACCGTACACATTGAAGTTAAGTAGATTGACAAAGTGCTGCCTGTTATTTTACCGTAATTTCAGAAAGAAAATTTTAACTGCGTAAAGCTCAGTCATTATTTTAAAATACCTGTATTTTAATATTAAATACATTGATAAGTTCAGAAGATTTTTTAAAATAAAAATAGTTCCATAACGGTTTTTAATTATATTTAATGAGTCTATAAGCTGACTTTCAGAATGAAGCAATACGAAACTTATAAAATCAGAGTATCGTTAAAGAATAGTTAAGAGACGTGGTGTAACAAAAGACAATAAATATCATTCATTTTTGTTTTTTATCTTATTATCAATAGCAGAAAATGTTCATTTAATACAAATAAATTGTTTAACTAAACTCATGATTAATGAAACTGGCGATAACATTATCAGTTTTTTAGAAACAAAACTTAGAGTGTAGAAGAATTAAAAATCGGTAAATATCTTTAAGTGTAAAGTTACTTCTGATGCAACGAGTTTTTGTGAGTAATATTTTTTTAATTTCATAACAATTTTATTAATTTAGTGTATAGTTTTAAAGATTATTCATATTTGCTTGAAACTGTGTTATTATTTTAAAGTGTACAGTTTTAACTGGCAAAAATCATTTTAAAATGCTAAGTAGAAATAATTTTTAATACTAAAAATGTGGAACTTTCAAACTGATTTTTTTCTTCGTTTGTTCAAAATTGTTCGTTTCTTTGTATGTCTTAGAATTTATTCACTGATTCTTCACCATACGACTTTGTTTAAAAAATACGAACAAGAAATATTAAAATGTATAAAATCTATCGTTAAAGGCTTCTTTAATGCCGCAAACAAAATTAAAAATTAAATGCTATTAAAGTATGATTCATGTGATTTAAAGTGTTATTTATTTAATGCTGATATCTGTTATGCTTCGTTCTCAGTTGCTGAAATCATTAAGAGGTTAAAAGAAATTATGAGGCTCATAACACATTGGTGAGGTAAAACAAAGTAAAAAATTTCGGATCAAATTACGGTAAAAAATCCATTTTTAACGAAACATGTTATGGAACAAAATGTCTGATATACTGCAATTGTAGCAGTAATAATTACCTTAAAAGCAATACAGCTTTACAGCAAAAATAGTTCCGGTACTTTACACTGTAATTTGATCAGAAATTTTTTGCAGTGAAGACGGAATTCAGTACTCCTCCTCTGAAGGGCATATTCCAGTAATTGGGAGTACAAGCATTATTTTTTTTCCAAATTAGAAATAAAATTGTAGATTTTGTTAAGGAGATAAAACTGTGAATTGCAAGAGTAACATTAGGCATTATTACCGTTGGTTTTATTAGACAGTTTCCTGAGATTAAAATTGATTAGTCCTTTTACTACAATGATTTAAATAGATGATAAAAGTTTTAGTGTTATTAGTCCATTCTATGAATGGTATTTTTTGAAATAGTTGAATGACAATTCATTGATGTTTTTTAGGTACGGTTATGAATAATTTAGCACACTCGAGAGATTATTTTGACGCTATTCAGAAATATAATTAGATAGAGACTCCTATAAAAAAAAACACCGCATTATTGATAAACACTCTACAATGCCATTTAAATTGTACACATTACAAATAATAACATATGCTAAAATTTTAAAATTAATAATTAATATTCCAATCATTCTAATCATTTTTGTTTAAAAAATAAACAGATGCTTTGAATGTTGTGGAACTAAAGTCCACAGTGTTTTGGATCAAAATGAAATTTGTTGTAATTTTCGTTGTTGCTGCTATTTCTTCAGCACATTGTCTATCGTTTGGACCACAATTGGATGATCATTGGGAATTATTTAAGGTGAGTAGCCTATAAAACTTTTACATCAAGTTAGTTTCCTTAGATTTTTAGGAAATTGAAACCATTTATTGATTTAAAAATATATAGACAATTATATGTGATAAAAGAGTGATTTATTTGATACTGAAAAATTAGTTCGTTAGAATTGTTATAAACGCTCGTGTAAGTGCGTTTATGTTATGAAGTGACATATTGTCAAAGCATATTTTCCAAATATAAAATAGATTAAGAAACTAACTAAGAATATTGTTTAATAAGTTTCACCTGAACTTAAGTTGAAAAAAAGCACGACCTGTGCGACCAAAATCATTGGTATTGATTGAGTTTAAGTAAGTATGGTAAGTCAAGGTTTTTCCATTTATTCATAAATTCATTATATTTACGTTTTTTGCCATGCTCATTGAGAAGTATACCGGAGTTTCAACTCTATACTAATTAAATTTTTAAGCCAAATTACCATATTTCAAGGATTAATTTGTTATGATTTAAAAGCAAAGTGTATGTATGGACAATATAAACCAATGCAATCATTTTTTGAAACTAAAGTAAGAACTTGATAATTAAAATTAAACGTTACACAATTTTATCAATTAATTGCCCCCAAATATTCAGCTTAAAACCATTTTTGAAACATGCCACACAACACAAAATATTCCAATTATGTTTCAGAAACATAATCTTTTAGGTTATAAGCATTTTCAAAAACGATAGTACAGCACTAAATATTCCAATTGTGTTTCAGAAATACTTTTTTTTGCTTCTAAAATTTAAGGCAACCTTAAAAATAGTGAGGAAAGAAATATTATAAACTCTTATTTAAAACTTCATTACTATGTCTGTAGTAGGTTGAGTTTACAATATAGTGAATATATAATGGATTACAAAGCAATTACACTATAGTGGATAATTTGAGGCGATTGCACAATGGTGTTGGCACGTGATATTAATTTAATCTATTCATATTTACACATGTTCTGTATTTTCTAATGACGGGTCAAAATTTGATAATGATATTTTATACAGTTTTGTCTTATTATTGATCTTCATTAAACATATTATAATATAATTTTCCCACTTGAAAATTAAATTACTTCTGAATAATATATGAAAATTTTTAAAAAGATTGTTCATGAAACATTTTAAAAATACATGAAAATATTTTAGAAAAATATAAGACGATTAAAGGTTTGATTGTGGTTAAATATTACGAAATCAGAATAATCATGAGATAGTTGGAAATGTTTTTTAGATGATGATTTAAATGATTTAATCATTAATTTAAATGACTTTATTATGTTATTTTAAGCTTCGTGAATACCCAATTAATAAAATTGCAACTCAGATTAAATTACGTACAATATACTAAAATGAAATTCATTTTAAAGTTTAATTATTATAATTTATGGACAGAACTTTAAAGTGCTTTTATATTTTAAGAATAAAGTACTGGTATAAAAATAAGTTTGTAAAATTATGTTTCTTTGATCAGAAAGTGTACGGAAAGAGATATGAACACCCAGAAGAGTTTTCAAGACGACTTATTTGGGAAAAAGCTGTTTCAGATATAGTGCAACATAATCTTCTTGCTGATTTGGGAATTTACACTTACAGGAAAGGCATTAATGAGTATACAGACATGGTAAGGATTAAAAATTTTCATTTGGGAATGATTTACAGATTTAGGTGAGTAAAAATTGAGATAAAGTCACTTTTAAAATAAAAAGACGGTATGCTGCAAAGTGCAGCATCATTAAAATCCTCTTTACTGTAAATACATTTTTATTGTAAAACTTTATGTCGTAATTTTTACAATTTTTTTTATTTATTTGCTATAATTCAGTGATTTTACAGTGAACATTACTGCGAAAACTATGGTACATCAGCTTTTATTTGTTGCATAAAATGTTTCAGTAAAAATGGTTTTTTTTTGTAAAAAGTACTGGCCTTCCGAGTGCCGGTACTTTTAATCGTAATTTGATCTTGAATTTTTTATAGAGTTAATTTTTTCACCATGCTCAATTTTCTTAAAACTAGAAAATTCTTTAAGAAAAGTTAAATTGTACAGTTTGAGTTCTATCAGAACTGCATAAAAAATAAATAAATAATATTTTTTTCTGCGTATCGATGAGATTTCAGAAGAATGTGAACAATACATAAATCAGTAGTTAAGACACTATTCGGTTGAGTAAATATTTGTGCTGATGTATGGCATAAACGAATAATATTATTAATCTAGCATTATTGTTTTTAAATCAATCTAAAATATTTCTAATTCCAACTATATGCTTATAAGATTTTATTGTAAGAAATCAACAGAAGTCAGCATGTTTATTGCAAGCAAACGTGGACAAAATGTGAGGGGCAATGTCATGTTTCTCTAACATGTTTGATTGCAAAATTGCAAAAAAATGCTTTATCTATATGCAAAAAAAAAAAAGAACAAATATCAGATAAAAATTATCTCTTGTTACTTCCAATTGTATTTATTTCTACACTTAAAAGAAAAGTATTGTCAAAACTATTTTGGTAAAATTTACTGCGTTTTTGTCTCTTATAGAAACACCAAAAAGTTCAGTAATTTTTCCGAATCGCTTTGGTAAAGATTTTGGTGAAATTAACATTAAAATATGGCTTTATAACAAGTTCAATTATTGGGTAATATTTATTTTCTAGTTTGGTTACATCCGTGTTATCATTGTTGTATTCAGCTTGAATAATTCAGTCGTAAGCCATAATACGTTCTCAAAAGGCTTATTTAAAGGTCGGCTGGTGGTTATAACAGTTCACATCCCCACTCCACAAGGGAGGGTGTGTGGAAAAAGCTCCGGATGATTTCGGCAGATCTTTTAAGGAACGTTATTCAGCAAGAGACATGTGAAGACCATCCCTCCCGTATTAAATACTGACAGACATGTAGGTGAATAGGCTCAAATCGTACATACCTTGTAACTCTACGCATCATAGATAATCATTTAATGCTTCCTAATATGGAAGTGAAAGAGGGACAAGAATCTAAAAATAACTCCTCCTTTGAAATGTAAATCTAATTATAATTCAATGGTATGTTTACATCCTTGAAGTACCAAAATAGAATTTCTACACCTATTCTTTACCAAAACATTTTATGAAAACGAAGGAGTTTTAATGTCGTTATTAATACAAAAGTATTTATAATTTTTGTATTATATATATATATATTTATATATATATATATATATACACACATTGGTGGGTCGCATTTACACAATCACACACACAAACAAAGGAGAAAGGACATAGAACACAGAGAGAGAGAGAAAGAAACATCCATACTCTGAGTGGGATTCGAACCCGAAACCATCGGCTCCACAGTCAGGCACGCTAACCACTCGGCCACCTGGTCGGCTGAAACTCGATATAGAACACTTGTATTTAAGACACATCTTCCTTTTCTCGAGTGGTTTTAAAATATTTGATATCTAACCAGCTTAAAAGTTCTATTATAGATACTGCTCAAGATTTTAAAATAACTTGCGATTACAAAATGCTTGTAAAAATAAACCTTTTGGCGATGTTTCTTTGAATTTCCGTGCAAGAGATGTTGATCAGACGTGATCTCCAAGAATTTCCTTCTCTGACGATGTTCTGCTAGGAGTTTCTGAATTCGAATTTTAGAAATTATTAATTATTTTTTTTTTTGAGATTGTGACCAAAATATTTTTCTACTCCACAGTTATATTTCTAAGTCTGGAAGCACTTTTTATCACTAGCTTTGGCAAACACGCGTGAAGTTCTTTTTTTGTTGTTGTTGCAAGAAGACGCTCATCATCATTTTTCTCAATGGATGATTCTGACATTACGTTGAGTTGGACCACGAAAAATTTCTTCACCTTCTCTATTCAGCAGACGTGTTGTCTAGATATTTTCATTTGTTTTTTCTCCATTGTAAAACGAATGGAACTACACTCAAAATACTTAAACATAGATAATGCAATAAGCCGTTAATGAGCTTCGCATCTCAGCCAAACAAAATTATGACTCAGTTATTATGTTTTTGCCAGACAAGTGTCAAAAGTATACTAATGCAGAGAGAGAGAGAAAATATTACATTTTTCCAACTACTACATTTTTCATCTTTCCTAGTGAGATGATGATTTTCCGGACGTTTCATTGGCTCCGACCCCTATATGGTTATAATTAAATGATAATCTGTTATAAGTTTTATTTAAGTAAGAGAATACCGAAAGTCACAAAATGCTTGTTCGTATAATTTACTAGTCATAATTTAAAAATTTTCGGGACACAGTAATGTATTAAAACATACTGCTTGAGCATTTTTTTAATGAACAATAATTTATTCTATAATTGTAAGAGGGAGAGATCTCCCTCAATGAAAACATTTATTTTTATGGAACTGCTGTTATTCAAGATAAGAATGTTCTTCTGTAAGGTTTTAGAATCAATTTTGAAAGAAAACAAGGACACCAAAAATGCTACTTGAAATTGCATTACACTTTTTAAGAATGTTATGAAAGTTTTGAACGCAACGAGGCTCTTGCTATTTCAAGAAATGATTTTCACACTGAGTTAACCTTCATGAAATACCTTAACATTTTTTTTAAAATTCAGTACACTTTTGAAGTAATTTTTTCAATTTCTAATTATAGAGCCATGAAGAATTTGTGAAAAATTTTATTGGATTTAGTAATATTGGTCAACGTAGCAAAAATGGCAGCAACTGGATTTCGCCATCTAATGATCCCATCCCCGATACAGTTGATTGGAGAAAACAAGGACTGGTCACTCCTATAAGGGATCAGGTAAAAAATATTTTTCCACCTATATTATAATTTCTTACACTTGGAAATCCTAGAAGTGGTATAATTTTAAACCTGCCTCCACTTTCGAAGGTTTCAACTCTGATGCATTGTCCTAAATTTTTTTAAAACTCTTTTATGTTAGTTCTGCATTTTTGTTAACTACCTCTTTTTTGATCCCTGGTGGCTCAGGAGGTAGAGCACTTGCCTCCCAGAGAGGTGAGCCGGGTTCGATCCCAGCGATAGTCGGTCGATTCGAATTAGGCACCAGGCTCTTACCGACCACAGTGCTGGCGTGAAATATCGTCAATGGTAGATGGATCATGGGTTAGAGTCCGCTTGCCGACAGGCTAACCGTGGGAGGTTCTCGTGGTCTACCTCTCCATGTAACGAAAAATGCTAGTCAGTTCCATAAAAAAGTCCTCCACGAAGGCGAATTTCTCCCAGTACTTGATCCAGGAGTTCCCTTGTCTTCTGGATTGGGTTCAAAATTACAAGGCTACGGAGTGGAACATTAGTAATTGCAAACTTGAAAATTGGGTTGAATGTTCATCGACAGTTATAAAATAAAGTAAAACTGCCTCTTTTTAATAATGATTTTTTCTCTCATTTAGTCGTAAGCAATCACTTTTAAAAAGTATTAGGAGTTGGTTGCTAGCAGATAGATAGAAAGGGTATATTTATTATTATTTTTTTTAATTTTTGCATGTTTCTTATTTTGAATCTTAGATTATTTAAATTTCGAATCAGATTATTTATGAAAAATGAAATGAAAAAAAAACAAGTACATCACATTTTCTGAAAATTAAAAAAAAAAAAAAAAATTCAAGTTGTTTTTGATCCAAAGCAAGTCTAAAATTCAGTTTTTTCAATCCCAGTCTCCAGTCGTGTATAACGCTTCAACTCTGATGTATTATCCTAACATTCTCTACATTTCTGTTAAATACGTATTTTTAATAATGTGTTACTTTATTCTTAAACAATTCTATTTTAAAAGTATTTTTTAGGAAATGAGAAGTATCGTTAGAAGATGGAATGTTGATTTTTTTTATATGTTTCCAATTTTGAGGCTTGGTAACTTTTATTTTGTTTGTTTATGAAAAGAAAAGTAATGAAAAACTATTCCAACAGAAAATGCAATCAGTTTATTTGTAAAAAATTGAATAGAAATAAATAAATTAAAATTCCTGAAAATTCTCAAGTTAATTTTGAACCTAGAACTGAATTTCTTGAATCCGGTCATGGACTAAATATTGTTATTATTGAGGATAATCAATCATTGAACGTGTTTGTGAGCCTCCTCATTGACTTGCTCCAACTTCATGACAAAAAAGTTTATTTTTTTCATATTAAAAATAAATTAAATTCAAAATAATTAGAACTGAAGGTATAAACGGGGTTGTAATGTTTAACGTTTCGTGGAGGACATTCTTTTGCTTTTGCAGTTCTAGTCTTAAAATCAGGAGATGAGTTTCAGTGTATTTGCAATCACTCTGAGCACTGATCATCTCATGATTGCTAGACAGTAGTGTCATTGTACTAGTACAAAAATCTTCTATGGCCTTTGTTGATTAGTGTCCATAGGCTAGCTCAAAGTTAAAACTAGCATACTGCATATTTTGTGTACTGCATCTTCTTAAAATTTATGGTTTCCTAAATACTAAAAAGGAAAATGCAGTGAGAAATTAAATTATTTATTTCTGTGAAATTTTTTATTTTACAAGGGTTTTACCAAATGAAAGGTGGGCAAGGGTGGTAACTACAGAAATTCAGTAGCAGCATCACCATCGTATGGATTTATTAAGGAAAATCAGACTATGAGTAATAATTTATCCTGTTTTCAACCTCATTCAACAATCATTCAACGATCATCCCAATGTTCACCCTACGCCTTCAAAAATCATACTACAGCACATTAGGACGCGATTCAGGACGCATCCATATTAGCATGGCTTCTTTACAGTCACTTCAAATGTTCTCAAGTGAGTTGGTAAATCAGATGTGAAGCACACCTTACCTAAACATATAACAAGTATGTATGTACGCTAAGATGTTACGGTGCTTCTGGTGCGAAAGTTTCCTGTTTATACTTATTCAAACTTCATTTGAGAAATCCTGATAATTTCAATTTTATTAGATTTTATTTCTTCAAATAACTATCCGAAAATACGACGAAATACAAGTACTGTAAGAAATTCATTATTTTTTCAGTAGTTTTATTACTTTCATTTTTTCAAAATTTGTTCTTTAAACAAATAATTATCCCTTCGAATGAAGAAAGAATGCAGCTCTGGCTATGCCTTTTCTGTTACTGGATCACTCGAAGGACAACAGAAGAAGAAGACGGGAAACCTGGTGGCTCTCAGTGCACAAAACATTATAGATTGCTCAAAACCAGAGGGTAAATCAAACAATTTCTACCTCAATTCGAATTTAATACTACTTGTACTAAAATTAAAATATGATAAATATTATGATTAATTTCACCTTAGTAAACACTGTGTAAACGTCAAAGTAACTTAAATAAACTAAGTTATGGAAGTAAATCCGAGGATCTTAATAGGTATATTTTCGAAAACAATTGTTAGAAATTTGCGCATCTGACTGACATTTTGTCGGTGTTGAGCTAAGTAACGCATTTGACGCACATTATTTACACTGCTATGCATTGTTCACAAAAAAGACCATCTTGAATAACTTTAGATACAATATGATCGAATCTTTACATTCTAAAACTCAATCTTAATGGTTGGAGTGGATAATCTCAAATATGCTAATTATTAGTACTGACGACATTTTAAGATACAAAATCAGACACAAAACGTTCTTTCTCTGAAGAAAAATATCTTTTTTCGACGGATTTGGATTTTTTACCCTCAGAATATAGGGGGAGCCGCAACCTGTGAAATATGGTCCCCATAGAAGAGCGATCTAAAGTTTAGACTCCCAAATGTTAATTTTATTTTTTGCGTATTTTGCTATTTGTCGAGAACTTTTTAAATGAATTTAAAAATCTTTGCCCACATCTATAAGATTCGTTTATCCAAAGATAAATCCATGCAAAAAATAAATTTTGCTAATATTGTTAATAAATAATAAATTTGCTAAATATTTATTACTTTTTATCATTTTATTTAGTAATAGTTGTTGAAAGGAATTTTTAACAGTAAAGTACACAATTTTTTACATTATTTTAAAGTATCTAGTTTTACATGTCAAAATACAAAAGTTGAGCAAAATCGGGTGAATAGTTCCTGAGAAATCGAATTTTAAAATAGTCACATGTTTAAAATTCGATTTCTGAGGAATTATTCACCCGATTTCGCTTGAATCTTTTATTTTACCATGTGAAATTAGATAGTTTAAAGTTATGTAAAAATTAATGTACCTTACACTTCAAAAGTTTTACGACTGTTATTGAGTAAAATAGTAAAAAAAAAACGAAAAAAAAAAAAAAGAAAACGGTAAATATTTACTAAAATTTATTTTTTGAATTTAATCACTTTTGAATCAACGAAATTTATATTTATGTGCAAAAAGTTTTCAATTCACTTAAAAAATTTTCGAGATATGGCGAAATACGCTAAAAGTAAAATTAACATTAGGGGGTCAAGACTTTGGACTGCTCTCCTGATCAAATTATTAGGACCATATTTCCCAGATTGCGGCTACTAGATTGAAGGGTCAGAATCTCTCTCTCGAAAAAAAAAGGTTTGTTTATTCAGAGAAAGTACGTTTTCTTGTCGGTTTTCATAACTTAAAATATCGTTTGCACTAGTAAATTTGCATATTTTTTTAGCACCCTCTCGAACCATTAAGATGGAGTCCTAGAACGTGAAGATCCGATCATTAGATCAAAAATTATTCAGGGAGGCACAATACAAATCCTCTTCTTGTATCTCTCGAATCGAGTCCTCTTTTATTAAATCGAGGAGTACACCTCAGTGGATCGAAAATACACGGTTCCCAGCAGGCATCACTGGCTGCGATCAGTAAGCGGGTGGGTTACCACTTTGATCAGCCTTCGTAGGGACCGAGGGTGCGCGGTATCGGTCCTCGTTAAAATGTTCTACCGTGAAGTATTCGACTTCGCGTGCAGGTCATCGGGATACCAAAGTAGAGGAGCCATCCACTCTGCTAAGGCATGTCTTCGTTCTCTCTTATGGCATGTCTTCTGATACCCCTCAGGGATGTTTCCCAGACCGTCGCCAATTGCCCATTGTGCAGCTCTAGCGCGATGTAAATAATACACCTACCTAAATCAAGGAGTGATTAAAATTTAGTAATTAGTCTATTTTTCTCACTCATGAATTACTTTATTATGAGATGGGAATAGCAACACTGAAATGAGCTGATAGATAGCTCAGTACATTGTAAAAAATGTTAGTGTACCTTAACACCGGAAATGGTGGCAGCATCAAAGTGCAGTGAAACGACATACATAACTCTCATAGATATAAGTGTTCCACGACACCAAGAATATTTTATTACACTATTTGGCTTTTTACACTTCTACTATATCCTAGAGACAAAATTTAAATTATCACTGTCCTAAAAATGATTGACAATTTAAAGAACCTATGGAAGAAAAACGAAAGAAAACAGAAATGTTGCCTTTTGCTCAGGTAATCGGAATTTCAGTCTCACAACATTTCAAAACTATGTAATAACAAATTTCATCACATAGCTCCTGAAACTATAAAACCATGCTTTTACTACGTTTTAAACTATTCAAGTAGAATATTTGCATGGGTCTTTATTCTTTTTACGTGTGCTGTTAAGAAGTTAGAAGAAAGAATAGAAGCTAGATAGGAGTTAGTTTCAAATAAAGTATCCTTTAAAACTACCATATAATGTACTTCGCTATCTCTGAATAATTTAAAACTCTAGAAGGTCCAATTTAGAAATCTAGGGGTCATAGGTGATACTGATCGTTATCTTGAACAAAATTAATATTGAAACACCCTGAAAATTTTTTGATCAGATAGTCGGATTTTTGTGTTTAAGGAGTCAATTTTAATAGTTTGAGAGCCTGATCTCAAAAATGAAAATTTATTATTGCAGACGATATTTTAAGTTACGAAATCAGATAAAAACTTTCATTCTCTGAATGAAAATATTTTTTTCGGATTTGGGTTTTTGATTCTCAAAATATGGGGGATTGCCGCAACCTTGAAAATATGGCCCCAATAGTTTGGTCAGAAAATTGGTTGAAAAGTTTTTAATGTTAGTTTTACTTTTTGAGTATTTCGTCATATCTCGAGAACTTTTTAAGAGAATCGAAGAATTTTCGCACTTTACCAACATTGTTTTATAGCTTTCCTTTGACAGTAGCCCCACTTGTTAAAGAACTTTGTTAATAATTTTATAATTCGTGAGAGATTATTATTATATTTCTTGAATCGAACACAGGTAACCCTAAATTTCTATCGTTTTCCGTTTTTCCTGAACTGATTTTTCAACTTGTCGGATTTATATAAGGCATTTCATAAAATCTCATTTTATACGAGCAATATGATGCATAATTTCATTATAAATATACCATTTTTGAAGATTTATGTCTGTAATTCAGTTACATTTTGTTTGTAACTTTAGTAGTTGATCTTTCCAAACAGGAAAAATTGCTTCTCAGCTATTTTCATTTTTAAATATGGATTATACGCCTGATAAAACTGTTACTTAAAAACTACTAATTCCTTAAATAAACTTCTTAAAACTTCACAAATGTACACTCATAAAAGTTACACACAAAAGTACTTCACCGTTTGCAAAGGATTCAATAAATGTTTTTAATATTTTCCATTTTTGCTTTATATTTTTCTAAGGAAACGGGGGATGCAATGGAGGTTTTGTGGATCAGTCTTTTCTATACATAAAGTTGAATCGTGGAATTGACACTGAAGCATCATACCCTTACACAGCTAGAGTAATTGCTCTTTTTACTTATTATTAAAATTTAAACGCTTTGTTTATTTGAAATTATTGAATTTTTTAAATTGCTTTTTTTTTAACAAGACAAATAAATTATTAGTTTTTGGACAATACATGGCATTACGTCCAGCTTTCAAAGGTATACATTGAAAAAGAAATTTTGAATATCTAAGTGCCAAAAATGGTGGCAGCTTCTTTTCAACAAAGTTGTAGTGAAATGCCATGCATAACTATTGAATCTAGTATTTTACTATACGTATGTACTATACGTTTACTATATAATACTTGGTGTTGTAAAGTAACCGCCACCATTTTTGTTATTCAGTAAGATTAAAATTTATAATTAAACTTAAATAAGATATGCATAAAGGTCAATAAAATTATTTTTACACTGCAAAGTAAGAATCATTAATTTATAATGCATACATACACTAATTCTTAAAATAAAGTTAGTTCGTAAATTAAGCATTCGCGGAAGCACAAAGAGAATCTTAAAACGAATTCAAACTACACTTAACAGAAGCTGATTGAATTTATACAATATAAAATTAGTTAATGTAGTTCCCAGGAACTCAGGAGATAGAGCGTTCGCCCTCCAATGAGGCGAACCGGGTTTGAATCCCAGTCAATACGAATTCCGCATCCGGCTTGCACTGACCAGAGTGCTGACGTAAAATATGCTCAGTGGTAGACGGATCATGGGTTAGAGTCCGCTTATCGTCAGGTTAACCTGGAGTGGTTTTCGTGTTTTTTCATTTCCATGTAACGCAAATGCGGGTTAGCTCCATCAAAAAGTCCTCAACGAAGGCAAATTTCTCCTAATACTTGATCCTGGAGTTCCCTTCTGAACTGGGTTCAAAATTACAAGGCTACGACGTTGAACATTAATTGTCGTAAACCCAAAAATTGGGTCCACTGTTCAACAACGGTTATGAAATAAAATAAAATAAAGTACTTTGAGATTTAAAAAATAAAATATAATTATTCTTAATACACAACTAAAAACATGCATACATATAAATCAGAACTTTCCGTTTTCTATTGATGAATATCAGCGTTGAAAATTACAACAAACTCACGCCAGCTTGTTCAAGATTGTACGCAAACTTTTCACAATATTCTATTAAGTGTTTCAAAATATTCGAAGCGCGGCAAGCGCCACCAATTTTGTTTTCGGAAGTGAAAATATTTCTCGTATGGTATAAAAACGTGTGATTTGGTGTAAGATTAACTCAATTTTAAGTGTTAAAGTTTAAATTACACCCTTTAAATCATAGATGAATGCTCCTTTCGGTGTTAACAACCCGGAATAAAGTGTTCCTTCGCACAATTGTTTGGGTTGTTCAACATCATATTCTGAGAGTTATTTCATCGCAGTTTGCTTCAATGCAGATTATTCTCTTCGACTTTTTTGTCTTTCCGCATTTTGTCCCAATAAATAAGTATAATTTTAAACGATATGGTGCACTAGTTATGCTTTTGAATTTCTGACTTTTTAAATTGTAAATCCGAGAGCGTTATGCTTTTTAACAAATATTAGGTCACGTTTTGAGTTAAATTATCCATAAAATTACGCGACTGACTGCTAAAGTGTTTTTGGAGTTAATTATCCCCCGTGGGGATATCTACTCCTTCACCTAAGATAATAAATTGGAAGATGTTAAAATTACATAACTAGTTGTTACTAATATTACAAAATAGTACGATAATTTTTAGTGGTATTATANTGCTTTTTAACAAATATTAGGTCACGTTTTGAGTTAAATTATCCATAAAATTACGCGACTGACTGCTAAAGTGTTTTTGGAGTTAATTATCCCCCGTGGGGATATCTACTCCTTCACCTAAGATAATAAATTGGAGGATGTTAAAATTACATAACTAGTTGCTACTAATATTACAAAATTGTACGATAATTTTTAGTGGTATTATAAATTTATCTATTAACGATTTTTAACGTTCCAAAATAACTCATTCATTGATCATTATAATTAATGAATCTATTAAATAAAATATTTAGAACATATTGACATTCACTAATTGTTAACAATAAAATAAACTTGTTCATAAATTATTTTTAACACAATAAACTATTTCGAAACTATTGATAAAAGTCATTTTCTACTTGTTTATATTATAATACAAGACAAGCTTTTCTTAAAATTATGTTGTCGTGTTTTCTAAGGATGGTCCCGAATGTCTCTTCAAGAAGGAAGATGTTGGAGCCACAATCGAGGGTTATGTTGACCTTCCCAGCGGTGGTGATGAAGAAACCTTGAAAAAGGCTGTCGCAACGGTTGGTCCAATCTCAGTCGCAATCGATGCAAGCAATTTGAGCTTCATGAATTATAAGTAAGTTGAAATAAAAGAAATTACTATGGCGAAACTTTTTGGCAGGTAAAAACATCAGAAAGTTGCTTAAAAACCAACTTTTTATTTTTTATTTTGAACACTGCAATATTCGGAGTCGCAGTCGTATCGGTTGGCCGGGGTGTCTGAGGCCGGAATGGCCCTTTACCCCTTTATCATCAGGGGAGGATTGTTGAGGTGGAAACCTGATCATTTCTGCCTGGAAATAAAAGTAGGAATTAATAATTATCATCATGTGAGGTGAGCATTGAAAATACATAAATATAACAACTAATATTTAAATAAAGATAAAAATAGGAATACATAATACACAGATATATAAGTAAAAAAGAATCGAAAAATTATACTTCCTGTGCGAAGTTTGTCAGTACTACAAGACAACACAAGCACGTTTCAATTACACTTCATAACACATAAATATAACATCATCATGCACCACATAATGCTTATTTATCTATCAAAAAAGCTTAGTCTTTTTTTTTCAGTGCCATTCAAATAAATTGATTTCAGTCAACGCATTATATATAATTATTTTTTCCCCATTACTTATATTCATATCGAATATCGTCATATTATTGCCATATAAAATATGATTTTCACTATATACGCTCCATTGAGTCAAAACTCAAATGGTCATTGTTGCATCACTCGTAAAAAAGTGTGCAACTGCAATTTTCGGAAATACAGAAGAAGAAATACAGAAGCAACCACAACATGGTTTAAACCATATATTTAATTGTTTTCAAAATATTACTAAACTATACTTTTCAATTGATACAGAAATATTAATATATATCGAATTTCCGATATTTTTATTTTTTTCTAGGAGTGGAATCTATTACGAACCAGCTTGCAATTCAGATTACGTAAATCATGCTGTTTTGGCTATTGGATATGGGACAGAAGATGGCATCGATTATTGGTTGGTTAAAAACTGGTATAATTCTTTTGGGTGTTTTCATTTGATCTCATTTTAAAAATTTTAAAGGAAAATCTTAAGTATTCTAAGTAATTATAATTTAAACATATTGAAAAAGAAATTTCTTTTATTGAATGTTGGAATTGATAGTTAATATTGGTTAAGAAATCAGTTTAATTTTGTACTATAATATAGATAACTTGAACCATAATATCAATACTTTAATAAACTATAATATTGTTGTTTTTTGCTATAATGCTGAGTGAATGTTTGCAATCAAATTGCGATGTTAAATTGAATAATTTTTTAGCTCAGGATCAACCCTTGTTTCGTATAATTAAGTTTAAGAAGGATGATATTGAAAAATTGTTTGGTTCAAGATGAATCTCAGTTTCCTCTAATCAAGTTTAAAAATGATTAAAAAGTAAGCATTTTTGATTTTTCGATTGAAGATGATCCCCAGTTTCGTGTAAACAGGTTTAGGAAGGATTTAATTGAAAAACCTTTTGGTTCTAGAATAGCCCTAGTTACTTATAATCAAGTTTAAAAATGATTAAATTAAAAAAAAATTTTCATTCAAGATGAACCTTAGTTTTGTATAATCAAGTTTAAGAAGAATTAAATTAAAAATTATTCATTTCAGGAAAAACCCCAGTTTCATGTAATTAAGTTTAAAGAAGACTTATTTGCAGAGTAATAAGATTAAACTTGGCATTAAAGTCTTTCACTTAAAGTCACTAAACTACAGTTGAAATGAATTTTCACGATATTATGGTACAATACGCTTCAAAATTTCGAATAGTAAAATTGGTATTGGTAATTATGAGTATTTAATATTTTAAAAATACAACGTCTACTTATTTTTGTGTGGAATAGCAGTAAAAAATTGGAACTTATTTTCATCTAACACAGCCTTCTTATTTTAGTTGGGGAACTACGTGGGGTATTAAAGGATACATTAAGATGGCCAGGAACAAGAATAACAATTGTGGAATTGCATCTTCAGCCAGCTATCCACTTGTTTGAACTGAAATGGTATTTTTGTCGTAACACTCAAAGTATTTATGTGTATTTCATATGTGTGATAAATATGATGAAAAATGTACAGTTGCAATATTTGGTTTTGCAATTCCTAGTTTTTAGAATAATGTTAGAACAACGATTTTTCTTTGAACTTGTAATTGTTTTGAATTTACTGTCAATAAAAATATTTGAAAATACTAAATATGCTTGGACTATAATTTTATTATTTGTGTAATTATTTAATATTTTCTTTGGAATATGCTTCACAAATAGTTAGAACACTTTATTTTTAAATGTTTCAATGTCAAATATAATAAAATGTTTTCAAAAAGGAAAATAAATTTAATGCTTCAAAATAGCTTCTTCATAATTTCAAAATAGTTACACAAGGTTATTTTAGGCAGAGGTAGAGGGAAAATCTGCAATGCAAAATAGAAATGGGAATTTTTGAGATTTTCCTTCCTAGAAAAGCTCAACAAGATGAATAAAACACAATCATTGCAATTTTAATAAATACTTAAAGAGAACAAAATTCACCCAGCAAAATCACAAAACTCCACATTGATATTGTTGAAGCTAGCTATGGAAATAATTATCAGTCTTTTTACTATTTACAATAAAAAATAAAAGAATGACATTAAAACGATTTAATCTGTGACCCTGTTTAATATTCAAACAAGAGATTAACATGAAAACTGATTCGAGAATTTTAAAAACTAAAAACGAAAGCATTTCTAGCTTTCGAATTTGCTAATAACCATGTAATATAAAAGTACGGTCTGTGACCGTATGAGTGTGACAGAAAAAGAATTCTAGTCAATAGATAGCGCCACTGAAAAACAAGAAGAAGAGCTTATTTCTGCCTTAAAATAGTCTTGTCTTTATTAACAAGGGGAGTAAGATAACAACAAAACAAACTAAGATATAAAAGTATACAGGAAAATAAAGATACAGATGATTTACCTAAGAATTTACAAAATAAAAATAGCTGTCAAGCATTTCATTCTATTAAAGGTCGGATATGATTGAGAAACGGCAGCTGATAGTGAAAAAATTTCCATTTATTATTCTTTCTTAATGACAAAAAGGAGTCAAAACTTAGGATTTATTTATAACATTCTGACGGAGTTATTAGAAATTCATTTCACAAATTTGCAACTCAGTGTTTTCAATTTTTAAAATCAGTATTTTTTGAGCATAGCACTCATAATGGCTTAAAACAGTTTAGGGATGAGAAGTAATTTTAAACTAAAAAAAAGCAGTTAAAATTTCAATTTGTAATTAAGAAATGGGAATAAATAGTAAATTTTTGATTGACATTACAAATTCGTTTTCAAATTTGCTTAATGAAACCTGCAGTGACTTGGAGATAAATATTTTTACACAATTCGTTTAAAATATATTATGAAAATGACTGAAAATGTCAGTCGAAATATCCGTTTTTAACTAAAATTGTGCTTAAAACATTTAGGTCAAAATGATATTTTTGAGATAGATAGATAGATAGATAAAGAGATAGATAGATAGATAGATAAAGAGATAGATAGATAGATAGATAGATAGAGATGTCATATGTAAATTGATTAAAATGTTGCCATGTGTAAGTTATGAATTTGTTTGATGGCAGTCAACTCTTAGGTTTTGATACAAATACGAATGAGTTCAAACTACAAGGGGGCTTCAGAAATAAATTTTACAAATGCGTATTATGTCATTTTTTAATATGAATATTTTCTTCAGTGGTCATTCTTAAAACAATTGTCACATATTTCGGAGTTCATTTTTGAATTATTTTCAAAACGGCTGCTTTGAGCTACAATATTAATAAATTTATTGAAACAAAAAAATTTTTGACAATTTTCGACATTTATTTTATAAATTGGCATCGCCAAATCGAAATATTTTTATAATGGAATATTGTAAACTTCTTTAAAATGGTGGTATACTCTTCAGAAATAGGTTGAAGCAGAACTTGTATTTCTCTTTATACAAATCTCAAGTATTAACTGAAAACATAAGTAATCATTACGTAAATCAATTGGAAGCTTAAATTGTTAAATTGACGAGTTTGCATAAATGCAACATGCACTTTTTGCAATTTTTTCTATTAGAAACAATCTTTAAATTATTCACTCTGGAATTGCTTCATCACTTTTTCTAAAAATGGTGAATGAAATCTCCAGTTGAGTTTTTAATTAAAAAATTTAAAAAATTACAATATTTTAATTTTAATGTAAAATTTTTAAATGTTTTATACTTGGGCAATTATTTTGCATTCTGTTATTAAAATTAAAATTGCAATTTTTAGAAATAGTTGAGAGTTTGGTTTTTGTATAAATAGCAGAACTTTAATTTTCCTTGGAAAAATCAGCATCTTTTCAAAAAGCTTTTTTTAAACATCACATCAACATGATTTTATTAGTTGTTTAGTTTGTAAGAGAACAATTATATGCAAGCATCTTATTCTTCGCTAAACAGTTACTTTTAAATTGCTGTTATTCGAAGGAGGTGCTTTACTTCAACCACAAATTACAGACTATAAGAAATGTATATTAAAATATAATAATACAATTTCTGAAGTTTCGCAGTATGTTAAAATTTTGAGATGAAAAATTTGCTTTTAAAATTGTAGAGAGGGAAAATACTGATCTCATGGTAATGTAACAAATCTGAAAAATGATTCGTAGAACAAAATCGTGACGAACAGAATCTGAAATTGAACAAAATTGCTTATAACGAAATCGGGATTTATATTAGGTTTTGGATTGTTACGAAATCTGCCAGTTAATCGATAAATATTTAATGTAAGGAGTGGGACATCCTGAGTAGGTAATTCACCTAACACCTAATAATTTTATTTATTATAATACAGGACAAAGGTCTACATATGAAAGCGCATATATATATATATATATATATAT